ATAAATGTTATCAAGTAGCTTTTACATGACCTCCTAGAAGAGGGTGATGATGAGAACCTTTTACTATTATTACTTATTCATAGGGTATGGGCAGAAATGATTTTGCTTCATTGAGTTTATTAATCTGCTCTACCTTTTGGTAACCCAAAGTAATTTTGTTACTGCTATTTGTGTTTGGATTGTAATGCAAAAATGAAGGATGACGAAAGTAAATTTTAGAAGCTGGGTTGAGGAGCAAAGATACTAGGCTATAGTGCAGAATATTCTCCCTCACATAAAAATGTGAATGATTACTGAAGTTTGTTAATTCCTTATCAAAAAGAATTACTGAAGCTTGTTAATTTCTACTCTATATCAGTCAGAACTCCAGGAAAAAGCCTTGCACGTCGCACAATGATTAGGATGCAGTGTTTCTATAGTTTTCTGTGGATCCACTTACCAATACTTATTCAACTTGAAATGTTGATAGTTTTCATACTTCTTTATCCCTCTTTCATATACATCTATAATTAATTTCCATATGCATATTTTCTTATCTTTGTGTTATGCGCCAGGTTCATCCTGAAGGAAAATATGTTGTTGATATTGATAAGAATATTGACATTACAAAGATTACTCCATTAACCAGAGTAGCCCTCCGCAATGACAGCTATGTTCTCCATCTAATTTTGCCCAGCAAAGTGGATCCTTTGGTCAACCTAATGAAAGTTGAGAAAGTGCCTGATTCCACTTATGACATGATTGGTGGCCTTGACCAGCAAATTAAAGAGATTAAGGAGGTTTTGCCTTCATTATGTTACTGCGTTTAGTTAGTTTTATGATCTATCCTGAGACCTTGGTCTTTGATGCATTGTACATTTGTGTAACCTTTTTGAACTTTGGCCTTTTATGCATTAGGTTATTGAGCTTCCCATTAAACATCCTGAGCTGTTTGAGTCTCTTGGAATAGCTCAACCTAAGGTATATTCAGTTATTCACCATTTACCATGTTTTCTCCATTTCTTCCATCAGTATTTTAAGCATAACAGTGGTTGGACAAATTTATGTGTGCTTATTCTATCTCCTCCTTTTAAAATGAAGGGAGTGCTTCTTTACGGGCCTCCAGGTACTGGAAAAACATTGTTGGCGAGGGCAGTTGCACATCATACTGATTGTACCTTCATTCGGGTCTCTGGTTCTGAATTGGTGCAGAAATATATTGGAGAAGGTTCTCGTATGGTGCGAGAACTCTTTGTTATGGCCAGGTTAAGTTTCATTGTAGCTTGAGTACTCAACACATATGTATCTCTGATGTCCACAATTTTTATTACATAATCAGTTCTGTCATGCATCTTTCTGATCTTATTACATCCAAATCATTGGACAGCCATTTCTAGCTCACTATGTTGAGCTGCTAAGGTCAAACTCGATCCTTACATTGGGTTAGCCTATGATATACTACTGCAATTTGTTCATTTTTGTGGGCGACAGAGAAAAAGGGAGGGTTTTTTGCAGTAGGCAGCATGAATATTCATGCATTAGGTGTGCCTATTAGCAGATGTGCTTTTTCATTCTTTCATTATTTGTGATTGATATGGATGAAATGCACAAGTATGCCAGCTTGAAGATTTTAAGAAGAAGACATCTAGTTTTTCTGTGTGTATTTTTACATCCCATGAGAATAGGTATTTATACAATAAGTCCTAAGACTAAATAAGGAAAGACAATCAATTACAGTTAATTATAGTGAAGGAAATATTCTAGAATCAATCTACTCCTACAATTAAGCTAGGAAACCTCTAATTAATCAACACCCTCTCTCAAGTTGGTGCAAAGATATCGCACATGCCCAACTTGCAAACCAGTGTTTGAAAAGTCCGTTTGTTGAGACCTTCGGTAAACATATCATCTAGCTGCTTTTCTTATAACACATGGAACGAACTTAAGATGCCACTTGTAACTTTTTCTTTGATGAAATGTCAATCAATCTCAACATGCTTTGCTCGATCATACTGGATTGGATTATGAGCTATACTAATTGCAGCCTTGTTATCACTAAATAAGGAAAGTTTCCCGTTTTCAGACAATCTCAATTCCTCTAGCAGTTTTTGTAACCACAAAAGTTCACAGACACCCTAGGCCATTTGTGCTCCATGAATAAGAATTCATGGATATCTAATACCTGAAACTATCTTGTTGCTATAAAGTTGGGGCATGAAGCTTGTAATACCATAAAAACTGCTAACTTTATAAAACTTCCCAAAAACCTGCTGGACAGTCCTATTCTGGAGAAGTAGGTAAAATTATTTGAACAATTTTTGCTTTTTCTGTTTTGGGTCTATGGACCTCAGTGCTTCATTTTCGCCTCTACTCTACGAACCAAGTCTTTCTGACGAGGCACCAGCTTTCTTTTTTGATCCCTGAGTAGCATTTCACTCTCTTATTATACAGTTAGCTTTAGAAAAGCCTGGTCTTGAATGTATTTCAGGGAACATGCTCCTTCTATCATTTTTATGGATGAAATAGACAGTATCGGATCTGCTAGAATGGAATCAGGAAGTGGCAACGGTGATAGTGAAGTGCAGAGGACAATGTTGGAGCTTCTTAATCAGCTCGATGGATTTGAGGCATCAAACAAAATTAAGGCAAGTTTTGTCAATCTGGATCACTTGTATGTTGCCTAGTTTACAAGTGTATTATTTTGAGATTGTTAAGCTGAAAAAGAAGGGTCCTGGCTTCAGGTTTTGATGGCTACAAACCGTATAGATATTCTGGATCAAGCACTCCTGAGACCAGGAAGGATTGATAGGAAGATCGAATTTCCAAATCCCAATGAAGAGGTACGGTTCCTCATAGCTTGCAAGACAGTAAGATGTTAACATGAGTATGCATTGGTTTCATATACTGTTACTAGGTTCATGGATCTCAGGTCTTCCCTTGTGATTGCTTACTTTTCTTGTTTTTTCATTACTCCTGCCGGTCTTTTTTATCTGTGGCTTTACCCAAAACCTTAAACGACAGACAAAAAGGACGGAAGGGAGTATAGTACAAGAGGTGTTTAAACATAATTGAAAGGATGCGGCAATATCTACCTCTCTGCTTCCTCGCAGAGCTGCATGCCTTCTATCGTTATTTCTATAACCCTCTGATGATTCATCTTAATCAATTATGTTCTCATTATTCTGCAGTCCCGTTTCGACATATTGAAGATTCATTCCAGGAAGATGAACTTGATGCGAGGGATTGACTTGAAGAAAATTGCTGAGAAGATGAATGGCGCTTCTGGGGCAGAACTTAAGGTGTGCAGCGGTTGCATGTCTTTTTGGCTTTAATTGATATCTGATATATCCTTTTAATGTGCACTTTGATTGCTTGAGAGCATGCTTAGTTTAGCGGTTGAACTTGTGATCTAGCATGTGAGAGACTTGTGTGACTTCTACTTTGACTGAGTGCCATCTGACGCTTCGCTTGCTTATATTTTGCCATGCCTTTGATGCATCTTATGATCTGTTTACAGGCTGTGTGTACAGAAGCAGGAATGTTTGCTCTAAGGGAGAGGAGGGTACACGTGACGCAAGAAGATTTTGAGATGGCAGTTGCCAAGGTAATGAAGAAGGAGACGGAGAAGAATATGTCTTTGCGAAAGCTGTGGAAGTAAATGACGGGAAGATGCCAATGGCAAAAATATTCTACTTGTGGACGTTAGTGCATAAACTCTGTGCTCAAGTTTCTACTCAGTTGATATCGAATGTACAAAATTCGTGCTGACTGAATGTTTATACATATGGCACCAGGAGCTTCCTGAGCCAGGAGATATAGCAGCATTGCTTCTTGTTCTCTGGCTCGTTTAAGGATCTTCAATCTTCCGTTTGATTTTATCATGAGACTCGGAATACTCTATCTATTACCTGTCCTGTGCTGTTTACTCTCGCATTTCTGTAAGTCGAGAATATCAAATTCAGACCCACTCTAGTGTTTTGACTCCTCTATAGTACTTCTTTAATATAAGTTATTGATGTTTGTTGCTATTTCGATTATAAAGTTACTTTATACAACTCACAATTTCTGAGAGTTCGTTTAATCATCCAAATATTAAATATTGATTAGATGTTCTTTTTCCTATCAAACAAGCTTTTCTACCTTTATGTTTTAACGGTTATTTTGTTTCGTTATACCAATATAATATACAAGTCTAATTAACGGCTTGAATTCTGTATTTATCCTTGGCTGTTGAGGCTTTTCATTAATCAGGTCCATCTTTTGCTAATAATTGTGTAGATTTAATTGGGTAGTCCCCATCATGGAGTTTAGTAAAGTAAATGAAGGGGACTCTGCTCCTCGATTATGGATTCCTAGGACCACTTCATAGAAGGTCCTACTATGGAAGTGTGACGGCTGTTGGCGTATGAAAAAGATGAGATTTTTAACTAAATAGACTAAGCTAAAGTAGGCATGCATATTAAAAAAAATATGCAAGGGAAAGCAATAAATGCTTGAAATGTAATGAGAATAACAGTAAGTGAGCCTAATCCAATTAACAAAAAGGTAACCTAATGATCAGAGATGTTGGTATATATTATTGAACGTTGCTATTCTTATATATAAGTGCTTGTCCATTTAATAACTACTACTAGATTTTGGGTACGCATGTTGTGTGTACCTTGTATTAATGAATACAAACTATAAAAACTGTATAAATTTTATTAAAAATTTGTTTTAGTTATTAAAAAAATAAAGGAAAAGTGCAACTTCTTAGAATGTATATCGAATTGCAACATGGAGTTCTGATTACTCTATTAAAGTAAAATAAAATCTTCTCTTTAACAATTAATACTATAAGTATACTATTAGATATGTCGTTACTAAGGTTTATAATCTATCTACTACTAATATACAAGCGAGGATAAGCAGGGACCTGATGGTCAACATGCCTGCTTCATCATGAGGGTACTTTTGTCATTTCATGTGCTTCTGACACGCTTCTACTAATTTGCCAGGTAAAAAGCACCGCTTCCAATTTTCTTACATCTTAATCCTATCTCCGCTGCATTTCTTATCTTTGTTCTGCTTCTGTTTAGTACCAAGCTCTTTGTTGTTCTTCTTCTCCAAGTTTTTCCTCGGTGCTCTTATCTTTAGCCTTCTTATAAAATTTCTCGTTTAGCTTTATTTTGTTTAGTGGTTCCGCTTTCTATTCTACTTTTTCTTCTTCTGCAAAAAGATAAGATCTTTGGGATTTTGGCTTGCTTAGCAATCTTCTAACTGAGGTTGGGTTCTGATTTGGTCTCTGTTTTTATTAATTTGTTTATTTTAGATTTCTTATGTGACTTTTAAGTTCTCTTCATTTATTTTGATTCTCTGAGCCACAGAATTTTTAGAATAGCCATAAGCAAAATCGGGGTATCTTATTTGAGAATTAGTAGCAACGAGATGAATATTGAGAGATGATGAATGGAAAAAGTCGAAATCCCTTAAACAACATCGACATGCGCTAAATTTTGTGCATGATTGAAAAGAATCAAATTCAAAAGGGTAACTTCTTTTCTTATTTTTTCCTTTTTTGTTCTCTAAAATTAATAGATCCATTATTTTGGTAATTAGATGTGACTGGTGGCTTTTGAAGGAATAAAATTACTACCAATGTATTTTCTTCTCTATGTGTTTGAGTAAATTCTTCAATGAATTATGGTTTCAAATAAATTTCTTATGCATATATATATATATATATTGCATATATATATATATATATATATATATATATATATATATATATATATGTATTCTTCTCTATTTTTAAGTTTCTGTGATTAATTTTTATCTCTATTGTCTTGAGGAGTATCAATGGCTTCTACTGTCATTTCCCTGGGGCTAAATTATATCATAACTACTACTTGGAAGATGATATAGATTAGAATCTTAAAGGAACTTCTAAAAATGTTTGCCTTCTCTAGGTTCTCTTTATCTTTGAGTACTAGAGTTAACTTGTCATGTAACATATTAAATTATCTTAATTGGCTGTTGGTTTTCACTTGCCAGAGAAGTACACTAGAGCGATTTTAAACTCATTCTGAGAGACAAAACATGCTAATAGATATAGGAATACAAGCCTAATGTTGAAAGTAGTCATTGCACCTTGCATCAAGCATCTTTTTATTGACAAGTGATTAATCCTTTGCCGATTATATATCTGTCATGTATTTGTTAATCACTTCAATTTTCCTCATTCCTATAGAATAATCAGTATTTTATTAGATTCTAGCTTTTGCCTAAAAGTAAGATTTATAAGTTAAATCTGCTTCAAAGGTATTAATAACTTGGTAGAAGTTAACATATGTATAAAACTGATTTGCATTGCACACCACCTAACTATTAGTCAAATTTAAAGAAAGAGATAAATCAGCAGATGATTAATTCAACCACTTCAAAGTCCCTGTCCTGAATAAAGAACAAAGAAAAACGTATTACTGGTACCAATATAAATCTTTTATCAATTCTTCGAAATTTAGAAAGTTAATCCTTCTTGGTTTTGATTTACAGATTTTGTTCCTCACTATACACTTTGTTATAATCTATCTCTGATTCTTATCTGGAAGAAGAGCTTTTTGTTGGTAAAAGAAGTTGAATCGTATGTAATTGAGTAAGGGATGCCATGTAATTTTTTAATACATGGAAGTTGAAGTACATTGCAGGACACTCTTGCATTTTTGCTTCTCTATGATATACATATATTATCTTGTTTTTTCATGTCAACTACTTTCTTTAGAAAAATAAGTTTCATGTGAAGTTGTTTTTAATCATCTTAGGATGCTTTGTGAATCATAGAGTTAATATAATTTTGTCCATCTCTTTGACATATATTTCACTGGAAAATACCTGAAGTCATCTCATTTTGTTTCAATCCTCTATTCAAAAGTAAGGAATACATTTTTTTGGTTGGTGTTTTTGAGAAAAAATAAAGGAATACATATTTTAAGAACAAAAAGCTGCATTTTTGACCATCTAATACCATTCTTCTTCTATGTATTGTTTAGAAAAGAAAAAAGACAGATATTTGAGCTTCATTAGTTCTTTTATTAATCTGACATTATTGGCTCCTGCTAGGACTAATAACTTCTGAACAAAAGAACAAACACGTTTGCTCGGCAAAATCGAAAGCTGAGATGAAACTTAGGCGGAGTTTATGGAGAGAAAATGGAAGAGATTTGACATGCTTATGGGATTCATGAGATGTGAATATTTATCATAGAGGTTGAACTTTCGTGTTTTTTTTTTAACTATGTGGGAAAACAGTCATTATATTTTGATACTATATTTCAGCAAGTGTTTATCAAATATCTATCACTTTGGACTTATAGAGTAAAAGTTCAAGCTTAACAGCTTGACTTATCTGATATTTGGTTATTGTGGAATTTTGTTGCTTCTTTTATTTTGCTTCTTGTAACTTCTCTAAACAACTATTGGGCAACACCATACTAGTAGTAGAAGAAGGTGAAAATATGGCCTAAATATAACTGCTTTATTTATTAATTATTATGTGTATGTATTTTTAGTAGTTACCCTGTTGTTTAGGTGGTTATTTCGTGTTATATTTGCATTAGGAAGAAGGGAAGGCTGACAATTGATTTGGTAGAATTTTCTCTGACAGATTTTGAGGATAAGATTCTCTGAAATACCTTCGTTATTAGGTGTATTAATGTTCTAACTTGTAGAACTCATTCTATTGTTAGAGTGTTGTTCTTAATTGAAAATTCACTAATTAAAGTTAGGAAAAGTTTTGATTTCCCAACATCCTTTTTATATCAGATCCTTCATGGTTTCAACCAGAATAGAGGGAAGGATTTAAGGGTTGGAGAATAAAATGAATAAAGTATGTAATGATCCAAAAATCCCACCAAAGATTGTGATAGCACCTAATACGCGGGCTAGGCGAACCATGACTACTACTACTAAATACTCAACAAAGTGGAAATAACTTCAATAATTCTTAAATATAATCATAACATAGACAATAAAGTCAAAACTAAAGTAGAAATATTGAAGCAACATACAACCCCAAAACTAGTGTCACTGAATACATGAGCTCTAATGAGTGAAAAATAAAAGTCTGAAATAAAATATAATGTCTGAATCAAATAAACATGAATGAAGGTAGTGGAAAGGTAACTTCAAGGTTTTGTACCTATCAAGTACCAAGAAGAGAGAAAAACAAAAGCACTCCGCTAAAAGAATGCATAACTAAAAGAGGAGAATATAAGATGATCAAGTGAAGAATGTAAGATGATCAAGGTTCTTTTCATCTTACATTCTTCAGTTGATCAGAAGCATCTCCACTAAAAGAATGCATAACTAAAAGAGGAGAAAGATCAAGTGGTCTAAGAGGTTTCTTACCATAGATGACTTTGAATGGACTCTTTTCCTTAGTGCGGTTGGTTGACTTGTTGAAAGCAAACTCAATAGTAGGAAGTGATGATTCCAACTCTTTGAGATTCTTCTTCATTAATCAATGAAGCAAAGCACCTAAATTAACTTCAATTTGCCCATCAGTTTGGGGATAATGAGAAGTGCTCGGTGTTAGCTTAGTACCAAGTTTAGCTCATAAAGTCCTTCAGAAATGACCTAGGAACCTCGAATCCCTATTTGAAATAATGGTTTTGGGTATTCCGTGCAATTTCACAATATTATCAAAGAAGAGATCATCAATATTTGTTGTATCCGAGGTCTTATCGCAAAGGAATAGAGCGAGTCATCTTTGAAAATCTATCAACAATAATGAAGATGAAATCCTTACCCCTTTGAGTCCTTGGAAGGACTAACCCAAAGTCCATGCTAATGTCTTCCCAAGGTTGATTAGGAATTAGCAGAGGAGGGTAAAGATGCGAATTGCATTTCTGCATTTTTGTCTTTATACAAGTTTCACATCTTTCAACCGGCTTATTGACATCCCGAATCTCTTAGGCCAATAGAAGTTTTATTGAACTAGGTGTAGAGTCTTTGGTTGCCCAAAGTGTCCAGCGAACCCTCCCTCATGGGACTCATGGATATAAATTCATGCAAACTTCCTTGTGGAATACAAAGTTGTTGACCATAATAAAGATAGCCTTCCCTAAGCACAAATATATGCTGATGTAATGACTCGGCCAGTCATTTTGAGTATTTTAGCCCCATTCCCCCATTTATTGCCTCCTCTATGTCATATTGTGGTTATGTGACTTTGCCGGGGGTGTTTGGTTTTGGTTCGGGTGAGTTTCGGAGCGAAATGGGTCACTAGTCCCAAAGTTGGAAATTTAAGTTGAAAGAGTTGACCGTAGTTTGAATTTTGTATAGACGACTCCGGAATGGAGTTTTGATAATTCCAATAGCTCTATATGGTGATTTTGGACTTAAGAGCGTGTTCAGATATTAATTTAGAGGTCCGTAGGTCATTTTGGCTTGAATTGGCGAAAGTTAGAAAGTTGAAGGTTTGAAAGGTTGAGAAGTTTGACCGAGAGTTGACTTTATTGATATTGGTGTCGGATTCTGATTCTGATTCCAGAAGTTAGAACAAGTCCGTCATGTCATTTATGACTTGTGTGCAAAATTTGAGGTCAATCAGAGTTATTTTGGTACGATTCGACGTTAGTTTTGGAAGTCGGATGTTAATGGTTTTAATAGGTTTGAATGGGGTTCCAATTCGTATAATCGATGTTGTTTGACGTGATTTTTGGCCTCGAGTAGGTCCGTTATGTGTTTTGGAACTTATTGGTATATTCAGACGGGGTCCAGGGGCCCCCGGGTGTGAATGGGATTGGAAATCGTGCTAAGTTTGGACTTCGTTGTTTGCTGAGGGACTGTTGTTCTCGTGTCATCGCACCTACGATGGGGATGGCTGCAGGTGCAGACTCGCTGGTGCGAGAGAAGCATCGCTAAAGCGGAAAGGGCTATGCAGGCCTGGGGTCGCAGAAGTGGAGACCCTCCGCAGGCGCGGGTGCGCAGGTGTGCCCATATTCCGCAAGAGCGGACGCGCAGGTGCATGTTATTCTCCGCAAAAGCGAACTTGCCTGGTCTTAATGGGAACTGCACCTGTGATGGATTATTCCGCAGGTGCGGGGTCGGAGGTGCGACAATTTGACCGTAGAAGCAGATATCGCTGGGCAGAAAAGGCTAGAGATGAAGGTTTATTTATTTTTCATCTTTTGACCTAGAGAGCTCGATTGGTGGCGATATTTCGAGGGATTTTCAAGGAAATCGTCGGGGTAAGTGATTCTAACTCGATTTTGGCTATTATACATGAATCCATCGCCGTTTTTGTCATTCAATTTGTGATTTGAGTCGGAAAATTTAGGAAAAAATTGTGAAACTTCTTTGACCAAATTTTGGGGATTTGAAAGACGATTTGAGGATTTCAGTAATTCTTGTATGGTTGGACTCGTTATCGAATGTGTGTTTGGATTTTATTAGTTTGGTCGGGTTTCAAGATGCGAGTCCGGGGTTGACTTTTGAGTTGACTTTTTGTTTCTCTTTAAGGATTGCAACTTTATTGTTCGGAATAGCTTCCTATAGTTTGTATTTATGGTATGAAGTTGTTTGGTTAGATTCGAGTCGTTCGGAGTTGGATAATCGCAGGAAAGGCTTACTAGTGGATTGAGTTAGCATGTTTTAAGGTAAGTGTCTTGCCTAACTTTGTGTGGGAGAATTACCCCTTAGGATTGGTGTTGTTTTGTGTTATTTGTGATAGGTGAAAGTCGTGTATGCAAGGTGACGAGTGTGTACACGGGCTAAATGTGGTAATTGACCGGTTTAGCCATGAAGATTCTTTCCATGTCTTTAATTGAGTTGCCATAAAATGTTATATTCACCATCATTAGTCTACCTTCACATGCTTTACTTGACATCGTTAACACTTGTCTTATCTCTTACTTGCTAATTGTCTTTACATGTTTAGTTGAAGTTATTTTTTTCTCAATTCCTTATTCATTATTTAACCGTTGAGTCCCTTTACTTGAAGTTGTTATTTCTTGGAATATCTTATTGTTGAATTTGGTGTTGAAGTTATAAAGGCCATGATTCACATTGATGCAAAGTTGTAAATTTCTTGAAATATCATTCTTGTTGAGCTATTCACTTTCGGTTGCTATTGTTGAGTCTCTTGTACATATTGTGATTGCGTCATGTGCTATTTATTGTGGAAACACTGTTATTGTAGATTTCTTTGGCAAGTTGTAGTATTGTGAACTTAAGGTGCGATTTGTGATATGTTGTGATATTGATACGCATGCAGCGGTATAAGGATTGGGGTTGAAATGCATACAGTGAGATAAGTGGGCATGATACGCGTGTTGCTAGTAGGGGAACTACTTGAAGCCACGCGGTGTGATACGCGTGTTTCTAGTAGGGAAACTACTTGAAGTCACGCGGTGTGATAAGGTTGGCTAAAACGCGGGTAGTTGTTTCGAAAAATGATTTTCAAAACTAAATGCAAGGCACCCGCGGTGATATAAGGAAAGACTGTGATATTATTTGTGAAATGAAACTACGAGGCGGTACCTCGGTAGTGATTCTTGTTGATACCTTTCAATTACATTTGGCATTTTATTCTTTGTTTCCTTCTGTGATGTCTTACTTGACTTAATTCAGTATAGCTATTCTTGCTATATTTCTTCATTGTATCATTTCCATTATTTTTCATTATCTTACTATCATATACCTGTTCAATTTTCTTATTTATTCAAGTAAGGTATTGACCTTACCTCGTGACTACTTTATCGAGGTTAGGCTTGATACTTACTGGGTACCGTTGTGGTGTACTCATTCTACACTTCTGTATATCTTTTGTGCAGATCCGGGTACTTCATATCAAACTAGGTACTAGTGAGTCGAGCTTGGATCAGAGACTTCAAGGTATATCTGCTGGCATCCGCAGGCCTCGAAGTCACCCTCTATCTAGTTCTATTTTATTTTTCCTTTTTATAGATACTGTTGCATAGGGATGTTCAGTATACTCTTGTAGAGCTTGTGACTTGCTATCATCGGACTTTGGGAGTTTTGTTCAATTGAGTTGCGGAGTCCTTTTATGATAGTGGTTGGTTAATTTGAAAGTTTTATCATTATCTCAGTTAAATTTTGCATGTATGTTAGGCTTACTTAGTCTTAGAGACTAGGTGCCATCACGATATCCTACGGAGGAAAATTGAGGTCGTGACAAGTTGGCGTCAGAGCTCTAGGTTTATTCGCTTTACGAGTCACAAGCAGGTTTAGGTAAGTCTCGTGGATCGATACAGAGACATCTGTACTTATCTTCAAGAGGCTATGGAACTATTAGGAAAAACTTCACTTCTTTGATTCCTTATCGTGCGAATTTGTTGACTTCAAAATCTAAAACTTTGTCTTTCTAATCTCTCACAGATGGTGAGGACACACACCGCTGGATCCGATGATCATACACCTACA